TTGTCTTCTATGTCACTCACTTGTTCTTCTACGTCATTAGGACCTGGAGATATTGCATGCTTTTTTATTGATTTTTAATTTTGGCCTGATTAGATCTAAATTCTGTAGTCATGAAGTCTCTTGAAAACTTTATGCTTTTTTCTAGAGCCACCAGTAGCTTTATAATTGTGCTTCTGAATTGGTCGACATCGAATTGTATTCCAAATTCTGTACCTCAATGGGAGAGAGTACTATTTCTGATTCTTCCTTTTGTGGTTCTTCTTTCTAGTCAGTGCAGAGTGTCTGAAAACAAGTTGAACTTGTTATAAGCGTGAACTCTTCTCTCTGTAGCATTCCAGCTGTTCTCTCTTTAAATCTCAGGCTGAATTCATATGTTTTCAGGATGATTTGAAAGTTATCTAGGTAAGTTGGTGGGGACAGATAACTTTGGGACCCTACTCTTCTGGTATCTTTCCCCTCCCCCCCAAAAGTAAATGGTTTATTTGAGATTGTTCTTGTTTCTTGAGGTAGCCCTGTTTGTATAAACTTCCCACTTAAAACCATTTTTACTGTTTCAGAACATTTTGTTTTCATTATATCGTCTTCCATGCATCTCTCATTTCTTCTTTTATTTCCCAGTTGACCCATTCATTCTTTAGTAGCATTTTACTTTAACCTCAATGTATTTGTGCTTTTTCCAGGTTTTTTCTTCTGGTCTATTACTAGTTTCATAGTATTGTCATAAAAGACACAAGGAATCACTTTGATCATTTTTTGAAAAATTTTAGGCTTGATTTTGGGGCTAATTTGTGATCTATATGGATAATGTTGTAGGTGCACTTGCAAAAGATGTGTATTCTGCTGTTTAAATTTAGAATGTTCTCAATATATATGCTAAATCCAACTGCTCAATATGCCATTAAAAATACTTTTCTTGTGGGATCCCTGGGTGGTTCAGCGGTTTGGCGCCTTCCTTTGGCCCAGGGCACAATCCTGGAATCCCGGGATCATTCCCTCATCGGGCTCCCAGCATGGAGCCTGCTTCTCTCTCCTCCTGTGTCTTTGCCTCTCTCTGTGTGTCTGTGTGTCTATCATAAAAAATAATAAATAAATAAGTCTTTAAAAAATATTTTTCTTTGTTGATTTTGTTTTCAAAAGCTGCCCATTGATATAAATGGAATATTAATGTCTCCTACTATTATTGTATTATTATCAATTACTTCTCTTGTGCTTTCCATTAATAGTTTCCTGTATTTGGATGCTTCCATATTGGGTGCATAAATATGTACAATTGTTATATCATTTTGTAGAATTGTCTCTTAATGATTATAGTGTGCTTTGTCTGTTACAGTTTTTCTTTACAAGTCTATTTTCATCTAAGTCTATTTCTACTGTGGCTTACTTTTGATATTTATTTTCATGATAAATATTTCTCCATCCCCTCCTTTTTAATCTTCAAGTGTCTTTGGGTCTGAATTGAGTCCCTTGTAGGCAGGATATAGATGAATCTTGTTTTTTTATGTTTTATTATGTATTGTTTAATCTACTCTGTCATACTGTGTCTTTTGACTGGAATATTTCTTCCATTGACATCAAAGTAATTATTTTTTTAATTTTTAATTTTTTTTATTGGAGTTCAATTTGCCAACATATAGCATATCACCCGATGCTCATCCCTTCAAGTGCCCCCCTCAGTGCCCATCACCCAGTCACCCCGCCCACCTCCCTTTCCACTACCCCTTGTTCATTTCCCAGAGTTAGGTATCTCTCATGTTCTGTCACCCTCTCTGATATTTCCCACTCATTTTCTCTCCTTTCTCCTTTACTCTCTTTCACTATTTTTTAAATTAAATTAAATTTTTTATTGGAGTTCAATTTGCCAACATATAGCATAACACTCAGTGCTCATCCCATCAAGTGCTCCCTTCAATGCCCGTCTCCCGTTTCACTATTTTTTATATTCCCCAAATGAATGAGACCATATAATGTTTGTTATGGATTTAAATGTATTTATTGCCATTTTTTATTTGGTTTGTGGTAGTTCCTAAAGATTTTCTCAGATCCTATCTTCTCTTGTTCTGTTTCATGGTTTGCTGGTTTCCTTTAGTGATATACCTGGAAATCTTTCTCCTTTTTCTTAAATTTTTTTTTAATTTTTTTATTTAGTTATGATAGTCACAGAGAGAGAGAGAGAGAGGCAGAGACACAGGCAGAGGGAGAAGCAGGCTCCATGCACCGGAAGCCCAACGTGGGATTCGATCCTGGGTCTCCAGGATCGCGCCCCGGGCCAAAGGCAGGCGCCAAACCGCTGCGCCACCCAGGGATCCCCTTTCTCCTTTTTCTTTGCGTATTTATTAGCTGTTTTTGATTTGTGGTTGCCATTTTTTTCTTAATTTTATTTTGTAATTTAAATTTGATTTAAGTAACATGTACTGTACTGTTTCAGAGGTAGAATTTAGTGATTCATCAGTTGCATACTACACCTAGTGTTTATTCCATCAAGTGTCTTCCTTAATGACCTTAACTCATCTATCATTCCCCTCCAGAACCCCTCACTTTGTTTTCTATAGTTAAAAGTATCTTATGGTTTGTCTCCCTCTATGATTTTATGTTTTCCTTTTCTTCCCATATGTTCATCTGTTTTGTTTCTTAAATTCTACATATTAGTGAAACCACATATATATGTCTTCCTCTGAGTGACTTATTTAAATTAGCATACTACTCTCTAGTTCTATCCATGTCATTGCAAATGGCAAGATTTCATTCTTTTTGATGGCAGGGTAATATTTCATTGTCTATATAGACCATATCTTCTTTATCCATTCATCTGCCAATGGACATAATACCTTTTTCTACAGTTTGGCTTTTGTGGATATTGCTGCTATAAACTTTGGGGTGCATGTACCCCTTTGAATCACTGTTTGTATCCTTTGGTTAAATACCTAGTAGTGAATTCACTGAGTCATAGGGATAGCTCTATTTTAACTTTTTGTGGGACCTCCACACTGTTTTCTATTTCCCCAGTTTACATTCTTACCAACACTGCAAGACAGGTCCATTTCTCCACACCCTCACCAACATCTCTTGTTTTCTTAGTTGTCAATTTTAGCCATTCTCATTGGTGTGAGGTGGTATCTCATTGTGGATTTTATTTCTATTCCCCTAATGGCAAATGATGTGGAACACTTTTTTCATGTGCCTGTTGACCATGTGTATGTCTTCTTTTGAAAAATGTTTCTTCATGTCTTCTGCTCATGTCTTGACTTGATTATTATTATTTTTTAGGAGTGTTCAGTTTGACAAGTTCTTTATAGATCTTAGATACCAGCCCTTTATCTCATAAGTCATTTACAAATATCCTCTTCCTTTCCATAGATTGCCTTTTAGTTTTTTTTGGACTGTTTCCTTTGCTGTGCAAAAGCTCTCTATCTTGATGAACAAAGAAAATTTAAGGTATCAAGCTATTAAATAATTTGGGTATCCTACCCAAGATGTTTGAGAGGGTTTTTTTCCTCTTAAGATGACAGATTAATGCTGATTTCAGTTTTCTATATAAAAATGTCCACAATTCAAGCTTGTGTTACAAAGAAATAATTAAGGAGAATATAAGTCTTTTATATGGAAATTTAGTACAGGAGTATTTCAAGGGAGCACATGAGTTAAAAGTTAATATTCAAAATATAAATGGTAACATTTGTTTCAGAAAACTACACCACAGTAAACGAGACAAAGAAATGTTTACAAACACTTTTCTAAATCAGGAAGTTCTTTAAATATTTATAAAATTTAGCTTTATGTGAATATCCATAACAGCATAATATGTGTAAATGTATTTTCAACACATAGAAAAGAGCTGTAAATAAATGTCTTCTTTATAAAATATTTTTGTCTCCTTTACACTCTGGAAACTTTCTTCAAATACTGTTAAAGTTTTATAATCAAAATACCAGGCAACGGATGCATGAAATATGTTCAACAACAATAATCATCAGGGAAATGCAAATCAAAATTACAATGAGACAACCGCACACCTGTCAGAATGTCTAAAATAAAAAGGGCAGGAAATGAGGGTTGATTTGGACAAAAAGGAACCCTAAAGTAATGTTGAAAATGCAAATTGGTGGAGCCATTGTGGAAAATACTGTGAAGGTTCCAAATAAATAAATATACAACCACCATCTAATCCAGTAGTTCCACTGCTGAGGATTTACCAAAGAAAATGAAAACACTGATTCAACAAGATATATGAACACTCATGTTTATTGCAGTATTATTTACAATAGCTAAAGAATGGAACCAACCTATGTGTTTATCCATAGATTAATGGATACAGAAGATGTAGTCTACAAACACACACACACACACACACACACACACACAATGAAATATTCCTTAGCCATAAAAAGTATAAAATCTTTCAATTTACAACATAAGTTAACCCAGAGGGTATAATGTTAAGTGAAATAAGTCAGAAACAGAACACATACCATTCAGTTTTATTCAAATAGAATTTAAAACAAAATAAAGAAACAAAAAAGTCAAAAGCACCCCAAATTCTTAAATAGAGGGAACAAACAACCTCTTAAATAGAGGTTGCTAGAGTGAAGAATGGGTGAAATAGATAAAAACAATCAATAGCACACTTAATGGAGTGAACACTGAGTAATGCATAGAATTGTTGGATCATTATGCTGTGCACCTGAAACTAATATAACACTGTATACTACAGAAATTATAGAATAGCTATCTCAGTAGGGTTCAACTCAAAATATAAAGTGAGAGAATTGTCCAAAACAGATGGCATGTATTTCACAATATCATTTTCAATGATTTCCATTTTTTATATTTTTAAAGTTTTAATTATTTAAGTGATCTTTACACCCAATTTTGGGCTTAACTTCATGAACCTGAGATCAAGAGTTGAATGTTTTACTGACTGAGCCAACTAGGCATATATCAATAATTAGTATTTTGAAACATGGCTGGAAATGCATTCTAAATTGTTCATTTTAGTTGATTTCTCAAATTTCTTGCATGTATCTGAACAAGAGAAATCTTTTTTGAGCTAGAACCTTCCTGAAAGCTTTCTTCACCTCTTTGTTTCTCAGGGTGTAAATGAGAGGATTTACCAATGGAGTGACCACACAGTAGAACACTGAGATTAATTTACCAATAGTGAAGTTGTACTTGGCTGGAGGGCGAACATAAGCAAAGATAATGGTGCCATAATAGATAGAGACCACAGTGAGGTGGGAGGTGCAAGTGGATAATGCTTTCTTCCAAGCCTCACGGGAAGGCAGTCTCATTACTGTGACTATGATGTATCCATAGGAAGACATAGTGAGAAGGAAAGAACTTAGAATCACAACAGAGCTACATGTGTAGCTCAAGGCCTCTGCCAAAAAATGTATCTGAGCAGGAGAGTTTGAAAATGGGGTCTGAGTCACAAAAGAAATGGTTAATCTTCTGAGGCCCACAAAAGTTTAGATGTGAGATGAGTATAGTAGACAGGAGAGGGGAAGTGAATCCCCCAATCCAAGATCCAGCTGAAAACCACAGACAGATAAGGATACTCATGAGGAGTGAATAATGGAGAGGACTGCAGATGGCCAGGTACCGATCATAGGCCATCACCGCCAGCAGGATGCACTCTGTAGCTCCCATGTAGAAAAAGAAGTAGTACTGGGTGATACAACCAGAAACAGAGATGGTAACAGCCTGTGAGAGGCAGGTGTCCAGTAATTTAGGCACCGTGGCTGTGGTGTACCAGATCTCCAGGAATGACAAATTTCCTAAGAAAATGTACATGGGCGTTTGGAGTGTGGAATCTAACACAACAATGAAGATGATAAGAATGTTTCCCATGAGGGAGAGCAGATATACAATAAGAAATATCACAAACAAGGTGATCCGCAGATGTAGAACACCAGGAAACCCAAGAAAAATAAACTCTGTCACTCTTGTTTGGTTTGTTATATCCATAGCTCATCATCTCTGATCTAGAATAAATCAGCAAAGCCCAGAAGATAATATATGAACATGAAGCCAAATTAGAACATTTTTGTAGTTATTTATTTTATGATGATTAGGAACCATAGTAGCAATAAAAGTGAATGGCTAAAATATAATTGGTATCTTTATAAAAATTTTTTCATGGATTAACTCACTTGGTTTAGAAAACACATCTCCATTGTATTCTATTTTTGTAAGCGTCAATGCAGGGCTTGAACTCAGTATCCTGAGATCAAGACCCACGATGAGATTGGGTGCCCCTAAATATTCTATTAACTTACATTTTATAAATGATGAAACTAAAGGGACAAATAATCTCCCCACAGTTACATCATATCACTTGAACTGGTGGGATAAAATTTAAGCTCAGCCATGTTGATTCAAATGACAAAAGCCAATAGATACAATGTGGTTATGGAATTGTTTATCACTAGAGAATTTACAAATAGAAACATGGTGAAGAAATTTTAAGACAATGCAGATCAGCTACCATTAGGTCCTTGGGGAAGGTGGGTTGTGTCCGAGAATAGAAAGTATAATAATTACTTGCTGTATCAAGATGAATATTGCCTATGATTTTATCTTAAAAATTTCCAATTTATTCCATCACTTAATGTTGGTAAGAGGATGGTATGTGAATAAGCTTTGTCTCCAGAAAACAAAACAAAGGGTCAGATTCAAATTTATAAAAAATATATTTTTATAAATATTTTAAACCTTTCTTAATTTTTGGTTTGCTTGTTTTTAGAATAGACATATCCATATATTTTCCTACATTTGTTAGAAAAAGTCAAACAAATACATTTTAAAATATCCATTCATCCATAGACAAGTTATGGAAAGAGCCAAGATGTCCATTGACAGATTAATATATTAAGAAGATCTGGTGTACAGATGCCTGGGTGGCTTAGCGGTTGAGTGTGTCTGCCTTTGGATCAGGGCATGATGCTGGAGTCCCAGGATCAAGTCCCTCATTGGACTCCTTGCAGGAAGCCTGCTTCTCCCTCTGCCTGTGTCTCTGCCTCTCTGTCTGTCTGTCTCCCATAAATAAATAAATAAAATCTTGAAAAAAATAAGATGTGTTGTATATATACAATGGAATATTACTAGCAATCAGAAGGGATAAATACCATTTACATCGACTTGAATGGAACTATAGGGTATTATGCTGAGTGAAATAAGTCAGTCATGGAAAGACAATTATCATATGGTGTCACTCATATGTGGAATATAAGAAAAAGTGCAGAAGATCATAGGATAAAGGAGGGAAAATTGAATGGGAAGTCATCAGAGTCATCATATATACTATTAACTGTAGGAAACAAACTGAGGATTGAAGGAGAGGGGATGGATATGGAGATGGGGCAACTGGGTGATGGGCACTAAGGAGGGCATGTGGTGTGATGAGCACTGGGCATTATATGCAACTGATAAATCATTGACCACTACATCTGAAACTAAGTATGTACATTATGTTAGCTAATTGAAAACCAGAGAGGGTGACAAAACATGAGAGACTCCTAACTCTGGGAAATGAATAAGGGGTAGTGTAAGAGGAGGTGGGCAGAGGAATGGGGTGACTGGATGATGGACACTGAGGGGGACACTTGACCACTTGATGGGATGAGCACTGGGTGTTTATACTATACATTGTCAAATTGAACTCCAATAAAAATATATACAAAAAAAATTTTAGGGGACCCCTGGGTGGCTCATAAATAAATAAATAAATAAATATTTGAATAAAATCTCAATAATAAGTAAAATCTTTAAAAAAAAGTTTAAATCCATTTAGCTATCAATAGACTCTGAGGTTTTTTCCATATCTTGGATATTGAGAAAAACACAACAGGAGATCTATTTACATTCCAAATATTAAAGTGCACAGTAGAGTATTGATAACTATAGTTACATTCTTATGAAAATGAGAAAAAAAGTCAGAAATTTTGTCTTTAAAAAAGATTTCTAATGGATGTATTTATGTGTATGACTGTTTTAATGCCAAAACATCAAAATAAGCATAGCAGAAAAGATAAAATTTTAGTAACATAATGAAAACTTTCTTATATATGTAAATAATGTTTTTTTTTAGTAATATTCCATTAGAAACGACAAATACCCACCATTTGCTTCAACGTGGATGGAACTGGAGGGTATTATGCTGAGTGAAGTAAGTCAATCGGAGAAGGACAAACAGTGTATGTTCTCATTCATTTGGGGAATATGAATAATAGTGAAAGGGAATATAAGGGAAGGGAGAAGAAATGTGTGGGAAATATCAGAAAGAGAGACAGAACATAAAGACTTCTAACTCTGGGAAATGAACTAGGGGTGGTGGAAGGGGAGGAGGGCGGGGGGTGGGGGTGAATGGGTGACGGGCACTGAGGGGAGCACTTGACGGGATGAGCACTGGGTGTTATTCTGTATGTTGGTAAATTGAACACCAATAAAAATTAATTTATTAAAAATAAATAAATAAATAAATAAATAATGGTTTTTTTTTAGTTTTTAAAAAGTAACCTGATATAAAATTACAGGCCTGGTATTCCCTATATAACAATTTAAGAAGTTGAGTTCAGCCTGAATGCAATTGTGTCCTTGTGTATGTGTTACTATGTTAAACTTGTATGTGGTCTAAGAAACATAAGCCCAATTAAAACTATATAAAGGTTTTATGTCATATCATTAATAGTGCATGTGGAGCACTTCTGATACAGTTGAGATTTTTCTGAGGATACACCTCATAGAAATTACTAGTTAGATATGGTTAAAGAGTCAAATTATGTTCCTATGATCAGGAGACTACATTGTCCCACCACACCAACTTGTAGATTTTTTTTAATAATAAATTTATTTTTTATTGGTGTTCAATTTGCCAACATACCAACTTGTAGATTTTAATCTCCTCAAAGTGCTAATAGTTTTTTCATTTTACTCTGAGTAACAATAGTTAAATTTTAATTTGTGCCGTGTATAAAATCTGTCAAAAATAATTATGGGACGCTTAGGTGGCTCAATGGTTGAGCTCCTGCCTTCAGCTAAGGGCATGATCCCGGGGTTCAGGATCAAGTCCCATATCTGGCTCCTGGCAGGGAGCCTGCTTCTCCCTCTGCCTGTGTCTCTGCCTCTCTCTCTGTGTCTCTCATGAATAAATAAATAAAATCTTTTAAAAAATATTTTGAAAAGTATTATAACCAGCAAACACATAAAATTTATAAATTAAGAAAATTCATTAGGTATGAATTAGGAATAACTTTTTAAAAATATTTCCTGATTCTGATTTTCTGGTTCCACTAGAACAATACTGCCATTTACATTATTCACTTACTTCGAAGGAACCAAGATATCATCTATATCACAATTATGAAAAATACATTGTATGACTATTTTTCTCCTAGAATTAAAAAATAAATGAGAAATTTGAAAAATAAATAATAGTAAATCTTTGGCAGCACCATCAGGTTCATGGCATTTAAATGAAAAATATATTTTCCTTTTCTAAATGTGTCACAATTATCTAACTTTGCCTTCAAAAAATAGAACTATAATTTTTAACAGTAACAAATCTAAGACGGAACTGGAAGTTAGTAAAAATTCATTTTAAACTAATTAATACTTTTATCTAGTTAAAATTTAAATATGAAAATAACTTACATATCATTTTAACTTATTGTTTTTAATTTTCAAGCTGTGTCCTCAACATATGTGCAAAATAAATCTAAATTATATTGCTTGTAAATATAGAAATATTCAAAATTATAAAAGTACAGTTATGTAATGCCATCACTCAAGACAAATGAGAAATAATATGAAATATATGCCAATAAAAATTAATTTATAAAAAAAAAATATATATATAAAAAAAAAAAAAAAGAAATATATGCCCTGAAATATACTCACTGTTTAATTATGTTTCAGCATTAGGATGTTTTAAATTTAAATTATCTTGGAACTCCTGGGTTGCTTAGCATTTGAGCATCTATCTTTGGCTCAGGGTGTGATCCTGGGTCCAGGGATTGAGTCCCGCATAGGGCTCCCTGTGAGGAACCTGCTTCTTCCTCTGTGTCTTTGCCTCTCTTTGTGTATCTCTCATGAACAAATTTTTAAAATCTAAAAATAAATTTAAAATGAATGAATGAATGAATGAATGAATAAATTTTCTTTAAACTTTCTTGTCTCACCAAGGTTATGTATTAGACCATAACATATTCAACTAGACAATACATGAATAAAGCTAAAAAAAAACTTTGCTTCTATGACATTGGCTGTCCCATATCATGTATGCTTTAGATGAACTCTAAATTCACTTGTGTATTTTTTCTTCATTTTTCCCCTATACCCAGGATCAAAGAAAGACACAATCTGAGATCCCATTCTGAGAATTATTGTAATTTCACCCACCTGGGGCTTGGAGACCTGACCTCCATTTTGGGGCATTCACAAAGGTTCCAAGAGGACTTTCTTTTGGTGAGAGTCATTCCATTGGGACAAAAGGAAAAACAAAAAAGTGAGGAAAGCAGGAGATATGTCACCCCATGACCTGAAATAAAATCTTACTGTTAGCTTCTTCAATTGCCACTGACTGTAGCATGCAACTTTTATTTATAATTGTAACCCTCAGTATTTCAGGCAGTGAAAGCATGGCATGACGATCCCGTTCTTTTTTTTATTATTATTGCAGTTCAATTTGCCAACATACAGCATAACACCCAATGCTCATCCCATCAAGTGCTCTGCTCAGTGCCCAACTCTCAGTCACCCCAACCCCCCAAACACCTCATTCTCATCTTGTTCCTTTTCCTTTTAAAAAAAATGTTTTTATTTATGATAGTAAACACAGAGAGAGAGAGAGAGAGAGAGAAGCAGAGAGAAGCAGGCTCCATGCACTGGGAGCCCGACGTGGGATTCGATCCCGAGTCTCCAGGATCGCGCCCTGGGCCAAAGGCAGGCGCCAAACCTCTGCGCCACCC